CAGACATATCCCCCATCCGCTGACTTCGATGGGAAGCATCCTCGATCTCCAATGACTCAGGGACTCTGCTCGAATCTTTCTCCTATATATCCTCAATTCGAGGCGTGGCCTTATAAACTACCATCGATCCAGCTGCATGTGAAACATCGGTGGTCTTCTTCGATCGGGCCACCATGGACCCGTCGTCTTCCTCTTTCTCATCTTCATCCCTTAGACATTGAACCGATTCTAAGGTCAAAGGGATGTTATTCTTCCTCGACTTACGAGTCGACCTTGCCTTCGATTTTGGATTTTCGTAAGTAGAGGCCCTTTTTCTCTTATTTCCCTCCGCCGGTTTAGAAACCAGGTCCGAGGCTTCTTCCTCGCCGGGCAGGGGACTCAAAACCGTATCTCTGCCCAGGCCTACACACAAGAAAATTGGTTGAATATGTGGAAATTATTTCGTTCGAACTCTCAAAACATGAGAAATAGGCTAACCATGATTCTTGGCCTCCCATCGGCCCTTTGCTAAATCACGCCACGAATGTTCGGCGTATGAAGAGGTCGAAGCCAGGGCCCGTACCCAGCTCTTAAGATCGGGAACGACACCGAACATCCAAGGAACCGCTGCATCACAAAAGAGATATCAGCAAGAAAGAAACAAAGAGACAAGGCGTAAGCAACAGAATTACACTTACGCTTCATATTCCATTCTTCGGGGAATGGCATCTTTTCGGCTGGGATCAGGTCCGAAGTCTTCACTCGAACGAACCTGCCCATCCAACCCCGATCCTTTTCCTCATCTGTGCTCGAGAACAGTACCTTGGTAGCCCGGCGTTGAATTTTTATTAGTCCACCTCGAAAGAGGAGGAGACTATACAATCTAATAAGATGATCGAGGGTGAAAGGCATCCCCTCGATCTTGCTTGCAAAGAAACGGATCAGGATAATGATCCGCCAAAAGGAAGGATGAATCTGACCTAGAGTTATTCGGTATTGACGACAAAAATCGATGATAACAGGGTCGAAAGGTCCTAACGTAAAAGGGTAAGTATACATACTAAGGAACCCTTCCACGTGGGTGGTAATATCTTCATCGGGAGCCAGAATTACCACGTCCTTGTTATCCCAGTTGCAATCTGTCTTCAACTGTGCAAGTTGTTTTATGGTTATCGAGCACAAATACCTCGATACTGGCTCACACTGACCGGGAACCAACGATCCTTTATCGACCTTAAAATCGGAGGTGAGAAGACACGTTCTAGGAGTAAACTCCTCAGGCCGTGGCTCCATCGGTGTTTTATCGGCGACGGGCTATAAAGAAGAAGCCTCTTCTGTTTGAGGGACGATTTTTGATGTTTTCGTCATTTTTCAAAGAAAGGTGTTGCAGTAAAAACCACAGAAGGAAAATTTCGCACTTAATTCAGAAGATATGAGAAAATGCTTAGGGAAGTTTGAGATTAGAAGATGTAAAAGTTATTAATGGTGAAAGAAGGGGATATTTATAGTCTGGGAAGTGGCGGTCCAATATAGGTAATGGCCGACCACCGTCTGACATGCATTAAATGCCTCGGTAAACTAAACCGATGGGACAACTATCGTGTACGTCATGATTGGATTCGATGCACATGTTAGTATATATCTAATCGTACCATTAGAAAATCATATCGTTTCTCGTTACATTCTTCCCGAAAAATGCGGGGACTATCTGTATATAGTCAAAATCGATTAGTCCGTCGTACGGATTGGTCGGTATGGTGATACTTTGATCGAAGGGCGACTTCGTAATACCAGGTCGAGGTCCGAAGTCAGTTCATCAAGCTTCGAGTTCAAGGAGCGATCAATGACAAGCTCGGCATCGTTATCGAGCTCGTATCCAAATCGAACTACGGGGCGAGGCGAGATTATCGAGCCTAAGATGCATAGACCGACCGACACCGACCCTGAATCGATACCAGACTCCGAGTCAGAATCGAGCTCGAGTCAAGATTGAGAGCTCGAGTCAATATCGAGCTCACAGACAAGAGTCGTTACAATCCCACTAGAGGAGAGAATCCTGGCAGGAATTATGGAAAAACTGATTTATCATGGGTCTCCCACTATGTATTTTTAATTATATCTAAAAGTAGGATCCTCCACTATAAAGAGGATGGCTATATTTCTTTAGAGCCTGAGTTTTTTCCTTATATTATAATTCAAGCATCATATTCTCCTATATTCAAGAGTTATTCTTTTAAACTTCATAAATTGATTTATCTTGCTAAGTCCTAAAAATCATTTTCTTTCCAACCTTGTTTATTTTGTATTCTTTGCAATCCATATTTGATATTTCTATCTATCCTTACGATTTGTATTAAGCTATATCACATATCCTTAGAACTACATACAAATTCAACTCTATCCGTTTTTCGGGTAAACAGAAGTGATTAATGGATTTATACTAACCAAAAATTTATCAAATTGTTTTATTCATACTGTTTCTTAATAAGCCTAAAAGATTGAATTTCATAAATTGATTTTTAGACTTCGTAACTTAAAAATTCTAACAAGTACAACACTACTACAAAATTTGCAAATGAATTTTTACTTATTTATTTTGAAAAGTTGACAACCATAAGTGAGGTTATGTAGTACCAACGGGTGTGCTTTCACTTGGTCACCGATAGGATGGAGATATTTTGGTGAAGCATTTAAAGAGACTAGAAGAGCAACTCCCTGGGAAATTTAGGTGCCCAATAATCTTTTTTCTTTCACATTTGTAATATTTTCTCATTGTTGGCGTCTAGTCAGTGATTACTGTTAATTTAATTTGTGTGTGAATTTCTTGTTCAAAATTTATCTTTTTGAAGTAATGCAAAATCTACTATCATATGGCTTTTGCCACTTTCTTTGTCGGTATATTTGATGCATTATATTTTTAATGTGGGAAGGTTTGTTCTTATAATTTTACTCTTATCAATATGCAAGTTATACTGATAGAATGGAACAAAGACTTATGATCAATGAAATTACACCATTCACTAGATATAGACTTTCATAGTTTAGCCCGTGGACAAATTTCAGCCGAGAGAAAGCAGGGATCATCGAGTTCATTTTCACAATAATTGTTCAAGATGAAAACGTAAGTGGAGTTACAACTATAACTGTAACATAAGATCTTCTAACTTGTACTCTTCCAATAATTGGTGCATTATCCGTCTTAATAAAATTGTAGAAGGAACAAATTTGTGTAATACTATATGGTGATGACGTTGGACGATGTGATAAGTTGTTCGAACATTTCAAGATGTATCTCATTTCAACTGCCAAAGTTAGAGATCCACAACCCTATTCAATACATATCAGCCAGTTTGAATGGGTCGTCGACAGATTTACTATTGTGGAGTCTGTTCCAAAGAATAATGAAAAGGAGGCACTATTACCTCCTCCGAGGAGACTAAATAGAATTTCCTTCCTCGATGTCGAACAACAACCTTGCGATGTTGAATTTTGTCAGCTATTCTCACTGTAACTCTTTCATGCTTCACTTCCAACTGATTTAACTTCTATTCATCATCTTTAAAGTCAACATATGCTAAGGTTGAGTTATCAGAAGACCAAATGCAAAATTAACAAAAACGGCTATTTTCGGAGCATGGAAAGAGATACCGAAACTGATGAATGGAAACTATGGGAGAAGGAAAAGTTTCTCTTTCTAAAGGTGGTTCCTTAGACATATTTATTTGTTTCCAACTAGTCTATGTCTTACAGCAACTTGATTACTTAGAACTCATGGTGGATCTTAAAACGCTGATTTTACCTACATTTTCTTTTTGTTCATAACAACAAATCTACTAACTGTGGTGACAAACTGTGGGGCAATGTAATACATCACTAATTAGGCTAAGAGATTTCAAGAGGCCATAGTTATGGACAACATGTAAGTCATTTAATCTTGTATCACTTAAGAAAATATCTAGCTAATACTCATAAATGTACAGGAAGAAACCTCTTTTGTTCGCTATATGGGACGACTTGGCAAGCAATGAAGGAATTGAGTTACTAAGGCAAGTGAGGTAACTACAAGAATATCATGTTATTCTTGCGAAGCGAATAGCTACCACCAAATACCGTGGTGGTAAGATCGTGATCTTTACTTTTTTTACATATGAATAACTCTTTCACTTTATTATTAACAAATTTTGCATACACAGTTTCCGTTTGGCAACAAGATACAACTCGACAATCTTAATAAATCCCCTCTATGTGCAAACAACTGAATTATGGAGTTGGTACAATACAAATTGCGTTTAAAATGAATCACATCATTATTTAACTGTTGTTACATATATGAAAAAATTATTTCATAATATTTATTGTGTCAATTACGGGGCAAAGGACAACAAACAAATGCTAATGACATACACTTTGAAAAGCTCTTCGGAGTCACCTTCATCGCTAAATCTTGCAGCTGTTGACGATGAAATATTATCCGTTTCGGTTACTGCTATGCAAATCTCCACTGTAAGTTTATTAAATTATAAGATAAATTGGTGAGAGTTGTTACGTCAAAGGTTGTTGTTGTGCATCTTTTATACCATATAGCTAATTATCCAACATGCTCTATTATGCTACTGTTCATGTCGGCCCAATAACACTATGCTCTAAACAGTATTGGAGTACAATTTTTTTAATAAACTCTTGTGTTAGAGTTCAACTATAAAAATGCTAAAGAAAAAAATATCAGACAAACTATGTTAGTTCATTGAACTTAAATATCGCTCCCTTTATAATTAAATTTATTTTGGAGAGGTTTTTAAAAGTTTTGATGACTACATTACACGTTGATGGTATCCTATGTCATCTTAATATTTGGGAAAGAAGTTGTTGGACTTGACAAATTTATTCTAATATCAAATGGAATTTTTTTCACAATTTAGTTTTACGTAAAGTTTTTTTTCTTCATAAAAGGTCACCTTATCGGTGTGGGGTTAGGCTGGACCCCTGCCTGTATATATAACACAATAAGAGTACATGGAAGGGAACATAAACCTTAGCTTCCAATGCTTAATGATAAGGATTACTATATACATGCGTCTGAAGAGGTATTGTTGAGGAGTACAACTCCTTTACATTTTGCACTATATGATATTGTACCAAAAAATCTATAAACTGAATTACTACTATATCACAATTATCCATAATCAAAAGAAAAATGTCTTGTCCGTGCTTTAATCCTAAAGCTTGACCAACCATTAATGTCATTCTTCAAAAAGTTTTTAGCTACCAGAGGGAGAGCCAAATCCAGTGTGAAGAACGAACTCTGCTTTGTGTGTTCACCCAAATTGGCTAAGTAGTCCGCTATTCCATTGACTTCCCTGAAATAATGTTCAAATAAAAAATTGCCTCAAGTCTTCAAATCTCTGATCTTCCTTATAATGAATTTAACCTGCCATGAAGGTTTGAAATTCCTATTAATCATTCTGATAATGACCATGGAGTCCGACTCTACTACAACGTTAAGATGGCCATTGTTAATACACCATTGTAATCCAATAAGCAGTGTTCTAGCTTCAGCCACATTGTTAGAGCATACCCCAAATAAAGTTGCAAAAGCCATAATTAGTTGGCCTCTATTATCTTTCAAAATTTCACCTCCACCTGCACTTTCAGGATTCCCTTTGTTGCACCCATCAGTATTCAATTTAACAGTTTCAGGACTAGGCTTCACCCAATTGATACATTGAATGTTAATTTTGGGCTTAAGCTTCTCAATTTGCTCACATGCCACATGCCATTGTTGATTCAGAGTGAGTGAAGGAAACTGAAAAGAGGTCAATAGCCTTATTAGGTAAGTGATTTTGTTTATGACTCTCCCAGTTGTAGTATTCATGTCCTCATATTTAGTATTACACCTTGCCTTCCATAATTCCCATCAAATAACAGAAGGAAGGAACTGAAGCAAAAATAGATGTACCATGTTGAGATCTTTTGTAAGCCACCAATGCATCAGTGTGCTCCTAATACTTTTATTCATGATAGCAACTCCACATGTTCCAGAAAAATAGTTCCACACATCCCTAGCTAGCTCTCCATTTCTGAAAATGTGATCAATAGTTTCTATGGCCCCATTTATACAACAACAATATTTGAATGGTCCATAGATATTAAACTTATACAATGCATCATCTGTGATCAGTTTCTTAGCCAGGAGTCTGGTTATGAAAAAAGAAACTTTGAAAGGGAGTTTAGAGTGCCAAGTTTTGACTGCAGTTAGGTAACTACTTTGGTTTTCCTTAGAGTTTTCCAAGTAGATTTACAAGTAAAGTGATCATGTTGATCTGGTGTCCATATGGGACAATCTTTGTCCTCATCAAAGATCTCAATGTTCAAAACTTGTAAGACCACTAACAGGGGGAGGGCCTCCTGTAGCTTGCCCCGATTCCATGTGTCTTCATCCATGAATTATGAAACTCTAATTTTTTTGAATTTGTAGCTGTGATTAGAGGATTTAGCTAAAGGTCCAATCCCAACCCAATTATCCTACCAAAAGGAGAGATTCCCAGATGCAATTTTTCATATAATGAATTTTTCACAATCTTTCCTAGCTTCAAAGAGTCTTTTCCATATATGAGACTGACCTTTATCCATTTCTTTGCTATTCGATGAGCTCTTGGATGGTATTTGACTTCCATAAAATCTCTCCACAAGCTCTTCTTTGTTCTAAAACTCCACCACAGCTTAGTACCAAGGATATCACGATAGTCTTGTATTGATTGGATCCCTATACCTCCTTACTCTATGGGATACCATAGTTTGCTCCATGCCACCCAATGATGTTTCTTCTTTCCCCCTATATCACTCCAGAAAAAAATTGGTAATTATCTTTTCCATTTGCGATATTGTTGTCTTATGCAGTTGTACTACTGATAGAGTGTGGAGTGGTATGGACTGAAGAACAACTTTAATTAAAATAGCTCTGTCATCATATGATAATATCTTGCGATGCATCCTTGCTGAAACTTTAGATACCAGGTCCCCAAAGTATATGACTTTTTTTTCCCAAAGTAAATGGGGCATCCCAAAAGGTGATTTGGAGTGAGTGAATCCTATTAGCTGAGTGATGTCATCTTTGATTGGTTGTGAAGTGTTAGGAGCTAGTAGGAAATAGGACTTTGACTTGTTCACTAGCTGTCCTGAGCATTTTTCATAAGTTGAGAGCTTCTTCATCATAGCAATGAGTGACAGTGGGTCTCCAGATGAAAAAAGAATTGTGTTATCGGCATAGCTCAAATGTGTAATAACAGGACAGCCTCTATCAACTGCATATGGAATGAAACTTTCCTCTTTAGGTTGTTCCATGAGCTTGGTCAATAATTATGCCCCAATAATAAATAGAGATGGGGAGTGTGGATCTCCCTGCTTAATGCCTCTTTTGGATTTGAAAAAATCATGTCTGCCTCCATTTATATTGATTGTGTACCAGTTGTTAGCAATCAGTCTCCATATCATGTTTGTCCATTCTTCTGAGAATCCAAATTGCCTACGAGCTTGGCAAAGGTAATCTAGTTAACTCTAAAGAAAGCTTTGGCCATGTCAAGCTTCATAATGATATTACCATTTGCATTAGGCTTTTTGATACTGCGAACAAGCTCTTGAGTGAGCATTAGATTTTCTGTGATGGACCTATCCTTCAAAAAGCCAGTTTGATTGGGTGATACTACCTTATGTATCACTGCATCCAATCTAGTGTTCAAGAGCTTGTAGATGATCTTGCAACTGAAATTGCTAAGATTAATTGGTCTCATCTCTGTGAAACTTTGTAGGCATGTCACTTTTGAAATCGCGATAAGGTATGTATGAGTGAATGATTTAGATAACTGAGAACCTGCAAAAAATTCACAAACCATGTTAGTTAAGTCCGCTGAGATGACATCCCAGCATTGTTGATAAAATCTCCCGGATACTCCATCTAACCCAAGTGCACTATCAGGGCTCATTGAAAAAATAACTTCTTTCAACTCTTCCCTTGTTGGTATGCACACAACATATCATTTTCTTCTGCAGTGATCACATTAGGTAGGCATTACAGATAGCTAAAATCATTGAAAGAGTTGTCTTCAGAGAATTGAGCTTCAAAGTGCTTAATAACTTCCATTGCAATTGCATCATTTCCTTCTACCCAAGTATCGTCAGCCACTTTAATATTTTTAATAAATAGTCTCCTTCTTCTATAACTCATCAGTGTGTGAAAGAATTTGGAGTTGACATCTCCTTCCTTGAACCACTGCATTCTAGATTTTTGTCTCCAATATGCCTCCCCCTTCTTCAAGTTCATAATTAGTTGTGAATTAGCCCCATTGTATGCCATCCTATTCATATCTGTATTGTCCTCAATGCATTTCTCCTCTACTTCCGCCACTTTGACTTTCATTTTCTTGTGTTATCAAAAATGTTTCCAACACAATTTTGGACCACCATGACAATCTCCTACGCGTGTTCTTTAGATTTAGATGGAATTTTCACATAGGAGAGCCTACCACCTCTTCATCCCATACTTTCTTTACTATATTTATGAATTCAGGTTCTTGGACCCAAAAGTCTAAGAATTTGAAATAACTTTGTGTTTCTGCCTGTGATGTTGTAACTGAAATCAATAGAGGTGAGTGGTCTAACCCTGTTCTCACTAAATGAGTCACATCAGTGTTTACAAATCTTTGTGACCACTCATTGTTCTTGATGCTCTATCAAGTCTCTCCAAACTCTTGCACTTGTAGTCCAACCATTACACCATGTATGACCAGACCCAATGTAACCAACATCAATGAGAGAGCAGTCCATTATACAATTTAGAAATGGAATGCTCTTTGCCATTGAGTGTGTCCTACCTCCCTTTTTTTTTTTCAGGTGCCAAAATGTAGTTGAAGTCCCTAGCAATTAACCAAGGTAAGTTGATCTTGTCTGAAATACCCCTAAGGTCTTCCCACAGTGTCTCTCTTAAGTGTCTTTTACACTTAGCATACACAACTGTGACAAAAAAATATCATCTTGGATGTTAAAACAACATGTAATTTGTTATTTTGTGTCTTAAATAATGTTGCAGTCAAACTGTTGATCCCAAAATAACCAAATCATGTTATTGCAATTAGAGTATGCTGAGTGATACCCTAACCCTCTTCTAAACTTGCCTATTTTTTATCTCTTACAAAATAATTCCATTAGAGCCATAATTACAAGTTTATGTCTTCTCTTGAGCTGATTAAGTCTATCAAAGGCACCATGTGATCTGATGCCTCTCACATTCCAAAATATGGACTTAATCATTAAAACTGGATATATGCTGATGATTTGGACTGTGATGTGGTCACAATTGTCTGACTTTTAGTTCTTCCTCCTTTGTTACCTCTGGTGGATTTTCCTCCTCTAGCAGATTGGAGTCCTCTAGGTGAAAGGTTCATATTCTTAGTAATTTCTCCAAAGGACATTGCCACCTCAAGTACAGGATTTAAAACTTGTATTAGCTGCTATGCTTCTTCATCACTTGAGGTGGAGTTTTTCCCCACATTTTCGTAGTCTTCTTCACTTGTGTCTTCCTCATCCTCCTCTTCAGTGTCTATGTTTTCATCAGTTGACATTTCTTCCCCTAACACCTCCTTCTCATATTCTTTTTGGGTAGATGATTGTGTATCTCCTTGTTTGGTGGTTGGTTGTTTTAGCTGGTTCTTTATTGTGATTATTGGATTTATATGATTAGAGTTGGGTGACTGGGCATTATTTTGATCGGGATCAGGTTTTTTGGCTGGTTATTTTTTATTTTTTGTTTCTAGGTATGTGTGTTATGGTTGATTGTGTTGGTCTTGATATTTTGGATTTATGCTTGGTATTTGTTGTGTCTAGAGGGGGAGCTAGTTTGAATTTGGTTACACTCTGGAGTTTGAGCTACAAAAACGGATTCAACAGACTCCTCATTTGCTACTAATTGATCCTCTCAGTGGACTGTTTTCTTAACCTTCTTGTTCATTCTTCTTTTAGCCTTGACTTTTGGTTCTGCATTTTGTTTGTTGTCTCTTTCCTTTTTCTCTATTTCTTTTCCCTTATCTGATGCACTCCTCTCTTCCCTTTTTTTGCTTATCATTTGCATTTGCCTCCCTTTGAACTTGTTAAGCATTAATCTTGCCTTTTTCTGACAACTTAGCAAGATCATTCATCATGTTCTAGTTTGTTGAATTAGTTCTATGATAACAATACATTTCCCCTTTTGATAAGTCTGTTTATTTTTCTTTTCAGTAACCTCCTTAACCCATCATCATCAGTTTTCTGAGTAGTTTTCATGCTTTTTTGCTCTTCCTTAGATGATTTGGACATTTGATCAGCAACTTTATTTCTATATTACGCTTCTTCATGCCCATGTCTTCAACAATATTGACAGTAACTAGGGGCTCCTTTGTATTCTACTGTTAGCCATTCGCTATTATCATTACCATATGGCCTTTTGTAACCCATCCATATCTTATCTTGCCTAGCCTTGATCAAATCAATTTTTATCTTGACTTTAGTCATATTTCCCCTAGATTTGGAGTATGTAGCTTGGTCAGGGGCTACAATTGTCCCAATAGACCGAACCATTCTAGATACTATATTCCACCTAAATAAGTTCCACGGCAACTTATGTATTAGAATCCATACTGGGACAATAGAAGTCTCTTGATCTGGTTTGAAGTCTTGTGTCCACTTCAGAATCTTCATGGTATATGATCCAACACTGATAAATAGCTTAAAGTATATGTGATTATAATCGACTTCATTAGTGAAGTCAATATAAATAGTCCTATAGTCGTAGTAGGCTATTTTATCTGTTCCTTTCAGAATTGACTAAAAAATAGCTTCCTTAGTTCTTCCATTTCTGGCTTATTCTTGAAGAGCCTTCCAACTATGGTCCATTTATAATCTTGAGATAAATTGATAAAGTAATCTTCCGTGCTAAAGTAAAAAAGAGGTTTACCTAAGTGGACTCCATGTTGAATCGTAATGGGTGAGGGTTTCTTTGTCATAGCCTTCAATGTGGTTTGGACAGCAGCAGCAAAATAATGGTTTGGATGGCCCATGTTTTTGGATTTTTCAGCCGTATAGACGGAGGTCTTTTTGGTTCTAACTGTTGGGTTCAGTTTGTGTGGGATTGAGTACTTTAAGTGAGTCGATTGTTTTTTGGTTTTGGGGAGGGGTTGTTATAGTTTGTGTTTGGTGTTTAGGTTTAAATTAGTCAAAATTTGAGCTTATCTTTGGATGGGCATGGGTTTTGATGACTGATACGTCTTCTTCTTTATCACCCATTTGGTTCGAGCTTCCCTCTACATTGGGTGTTGGTGGTGTAGTTTTCTTACTTGCTGCATTTTCTGTTTGATTTGGTTGGCAATTTTGTTCGAAGAAAGCCAATTTAAGGGCATTCAAGATTTGTGGATTGTCAAAAGTTTTCCCAATAGCAATAACTTGGTATAAATTTGGTTGTATTTTTCGGTTTAGGCGGTTGTTTGGGTGTGATCTGCGGGTGATTCTGAGGTGTAGTCGGTTTGGTTTTGTGGCGTACCGGTGGTTGTGGGTGTTGTTAGTTGTGGAATGGTGGAGGAGCTATGTATTGTCGAATTTTTGTTCAGTGGGTCAGGTAAGGCTGGCGGTGGGTCAGTGGGCAAGTGCTCCCGTAGATCTGCTGGTATCATACGTGAGTGTGTTTTCTAGAGAGTTTTACATAAAGTTAGTTAACTAATTTTTACATTTTTTCTTAGGCGAGGTTGGTTGTTTAATAGTATACTTAATATTTTTTACTTTTTACACTTTAAATTTTATGGATCTTCCTTTTCTTTAAGTATAATAGGTTTATCTTAGGTCTTTAACCATTATATTCCCTGAGATTAGACCTAAGATATAGTTTCATATAATATGTTTGAACCTAATATTCACCATGGAAGTTTGAATAGAAACTCCTATGGTCTATAACTTGCAACACTTTTAAATGATACTATTGATGAATTTATGTATGGACTAAAAAGGAAGAGGAAGAAGTGACAGAGGAAGATATTCTTGTAAAATATGGCTGCTTTATTAATATTTTTAGACCAAACTCAACTGCATCGTCTAGAAATATAATTGAATCTAACCTTTGATACAAAAAGTTAGGGATATCTTAGTAGCTAATCTTCCAGGTGCCTTTATCTAGGTTATTGAAGTAAGTGCTTAGTCACTTTGTGTGGCTAGGAAGAATAAAGATAGCACGACCAAAAATTCCACCTTAAGGATCGTGATGATACCTAGTCCCTAAAACTAGGTAAGCCTATCACTCAACAATACCAGACAAAATAAAATAACTCAATATTTAAATAAAACTAAGAAAATGGCCCAAAACATAGTCAATATGATAATACCACAATCACAATCTCAAAACCGATAATACTGTGTCATAAGCTCTACATGAGATACATAATGAGTCTAAAAATATAGAACTATTTGAGATAAAATAAACAACAGAAAGGAAACTATAGAAGGTGACTCCGCGGCCTGCTAGCGGAATATCAAGTATATCTTGAAGTCTCCATGGCAACTCACAATCATCTCACTAACGACCGACACGCGCTGAGGTACCTGGATCTGCACAAAGAATTTGCAGAAGCGTAGTATGAGTACCATAGTCGGTACCTAATAAGTATCAAGACTAACCTCGGCGGAGTAGTGACGAGGTTCAAGTCAAGACACCCACGAGTCAAATAATCTGTGCAAAATATCAAAGGCGGGCAACACAGAGAATAATAGAAGGAAATGATTGTAATTTCAACAGAACAAGTGATAATAACTTAATACAAGTAAAGGCTCAATTTCAACAACGATTCATCAAATAGAATCGCACACATTTGGCACATCGTGCCCACATTACCAATCACCCTCGCATGTAAAAGACCTCATGCCACAGCATACGTTACACCTCGCACGGAAAAGACCTTGTGCCACAATATAAGTTACGCTTGCACGGCAAGGACCTCGTGCCACGATATAGATCAAATTTTGTATCAATTACTCATAACACGTTCCAGATAACTATCAAGAATAAAATAAAGTAATGCATAATAAAAGCTTTCTTTTTATTTCAACCCCTTACGCTACCAACAACTCAACAGAAAGTGAGATAACAACTCCATATAAGTAAATCCATCTTAATAACTAAAACATCAAGAAATAACAGAGGCACATATTGGCATGTTAGAACTCACACAATAAATTATTTATAATTGCATGACACACACAAAGAAGTCATAAGCACAAACAAGAATACCCATTCTTCACCACCACATAAATATCATCAATAAACGCCCCCAGACCATTACATACCATCCCCACATAGCTACCCTTATCTCACTGCGTGCGCAACAGTAAAGTAATTGCTCGTCTTGTCTCGCCACACATATTTTAATAATCATCCCACCTTGTCTCGTCACATGCTCAAACTAGATATAATCCGCCTTATCTCGCCATATGTGCAATATCAATAATAATATTAGCATGAAAGGAACCTCATGCAAATACCCGAACAATCCGCCCAAAAAGTCCATATGTACCATAATCATAATAACATAACATGCCAACAATTGTCATCAAGACATAAACTCACAATCTGCCAACACAGTGCCCAAGGACAAACCAATAAAGGAAATGCGAATAGGTGTTCAACATATGAGCATGAATTACTAACTCACTTTGGCAACAATCTCACAAACTCCCAACTTGGTCAATTAAGAAAATTACAATCCTACAACATGATCTCTAGCATGGAACATAAACTCAAGTAAACAACCAAAGTGAAAACACGTAGTGCAGATATCTCTCAAGCAAAACAAGTCAATAAGAGCAACTTCGGGTCAAATCCGGTTATAAATCATACATAAGACCGTGTACACACTCGTCACCTCATGTACACATTGTTTATAGATAACACAATTAAGCAATTAAGCCAAATCCTAAAGGTTAATTTTCCTACACAAAGTTAGGCAAGATACTTACCTCAAAAGCTCTCAATCAATACTCTAAAAATATTTTCCTTAAACGTTCACCTCTGTTCGGCCCAAATCTAGCCAAAAATGACTTCATAACATCAAACAATGAAAGAAAATTCAACCTCAATTAATAAAGTTAAAATCTTTACACATTTCTCAAAAAGTCAACAAAATTCAACCCCGAACCCACCCGATCAAAACCTGAGTCGAAGGGTAGATCTTGACAACCCATATACCACGAGTCCAAATATGTGTTTGATTTACAAATCCGAGTCCATCGACTCTCAAATCTCAAATTTTTATTTTTTAAAACATAGTAAAAAAATCCCCAAATATTCCTTTCAAATCTCATGATTTTGATGTTAAAATTCATAAGAAATTAGTTAGAATTTGTCTCATTGCTTGTGTTATGAACATTAAACTAAAGATCTGATTTTGATGATTTATCAAGTCCTATTAAACTTATGGATTTTAGCATCAAAATCATGGGATTTGAAATGAATTTTTGGAACTTTTTACCATGTTTTGAAAAATAAAAATTTGAGATTTGAGAGTCGATTTAGACTTGGATTTGAAAACCAAACATATATTTGGACTCGTGAGGTTATGGGTAGTCAAGATGTACCCTTCAACTCGGATTTTGACCGGGCGGGCCTGGGGTTAACTTTTGTTGACTTTTTGGGAAATGTGTAAAGTTCTTAACTTTATTAATTGAGGTTGAATTCTCTCACGTTGTTTGATGTTATGAATTCATTTTTGGCTAGACTTAGAGTATTGACTGAGAGATATTGAGGTAAGTATCTTGCTTAACTTTTTGTGGGGGAATTACCCCTTAGAATTTGGCTTAATTTCTTATTTGTGTTATATGTAAATGATGTGTATACGAGGTGACCAGTGTGTACATGGTCATATATGTGATTTATGACCAGATTTAACCCGAGGTTGCTTTTATTGCCTTGTTTTGCTTGAGAGATCTCTGCATTACGTGTTTTCACTTTAGTTGTTTACTTGAGTTTATGTTCCATGCTAGAGATCATGTTGTAGGATTGTAATTTCCTTAATTAGCCAAGTTGGGCGTTTGTGGGATTGTTGCCAAAGTGAGTTAGTTGAATTCATGATCATATGTTGAACACCTATCCACATTTCCTTTATTGGTTTGTCTTTGTGCACTATGTTGGCAGATTATAAGTTGATGTCTTGATGATATTTTTTGAAATATTGTGTTGTTATAATTATAGTACATGTGGACTTGTTGGGCGGATTGTTCGGGCGTTTGCACGGGATTTCTGCCATGCTAATATTATTATTGATATTGTACATGTGGCGAGACAAGGTGGGTTATATCGGGTTTGCGCATGTGGCGAGATGGTGGGATGATTATTATAATGCGTGTGACGAGATAAGGCAGGCAATTACTTTACTGTTACGTACGTGGTGAGATAAGGATGGCTATGTGGGGATGATATGTAATGGCATGGGGGCGTTTATTGATGATGTTTGTGTGGTGGTGAAGAAGAGGTATTCTTGTTTGTGCTTATGACTTCTTTGCATGTGTCATGCATTTATATATGATTTGTTGTGTGATTTCTAACTTGACAATTTGTGCCTCTTTTATTACTTGATATTTCAGTTGTCAAGATAGATTTACTTACGTGGGGTTGTTATCTCGCTTTATGTTGAGTTGTTGGTAGCGTAAGAGGTTGAAATAAAGAGAAAGTTGTTATTATGCATTACTTTATTTTATTCTAGATAGTTCTATGGAATATTTTATGAGTAATTGATATGGAATTGGATCTATATTGTGGTACGGGGTCTTTGTCGTGCGTGGTGTGACGTATGTTGTGGCACGAGGTCTTTACCATGCGAGGGTGATTAGTAATGTGGGAACAAGGTGCCATATCCGCGCGATTCTATTTGATGTCTCATTGTTAAAACTGAGCCTTTACTTGTATTAAGTTATTATCACTTGTTCTGATAAAATTACGGTTATTGCCTTCTATTATTCTTCCTATTGCCCGTTTTTGATATTTTGCATATATTATTTGACTAGTGGGTGTCTTGACTTGAACCTCGTCACTACTCCGTCAAGGTTAGTCTTGATACTTACTGGGTATCGACTGTGGTGTACTCATACTATGCTTCTGCATATTCTTTGTGCAGATCTAAGTACCTCAGTGCATGTCGGTCGTTAGTGAGCTGATTCTACGTTGCTACAGAGACTTCAAGGTATACATGTTGTTCCGATCGCAGGCCTCGGAGTCACCTTCTACTGTTTCCTTTCTACTGTTTATTTTATCTCAAACAGTTCTGTATTTTTAGATTCATTATATACCTCTTGTAGAGTTTATGACTCAGTATTATCAATTTTGGGAATGTGATTGTGGTATTATTATATTGGCTATGTTTTGGTTTATTTTCTCAATTTTATTTAAATATTGAGTTGTTAAATTATGTCTGGTATTGTTGAGTGATAGGTTTACCTAGTCTTAGAACTAGGTGCCATCACGATCTTTAAGGTGGGATGTTGGGTAGTGATATCTTTATCTTCCTAGCCACACAAAGTGACTATGCACTTACTTCAAAAACCTAGAGAAAGGCACTTGGAAGATTAGATACTAAGATATTCCTATCTTTTTGTATCAAAGGATGAATTCAATTATATTTCTAGACGATGCAG